GTATTAAGGATATAATCTACATTACTTTTATATTGATTATATATCTGATTGTCTCAAGGATGTGACAATCCATTTACTATGCAATATTCTTTACCTGCATACTGACCTTGATTTTCAGGAGGCTGGGTTGGAGCAGAGATTGGCACCTCTGTTGAACGTTTTGATCCTGAAGAGAATACTTGGGAAATTGTAGGCAGCATGGCTGTGCCACGTTACAATTTTGGCTGTTGTGAAATACGAGGTGAGGGATTTTGAATTTTGGGACCATTTTGCTTAGTGCAAATTATACAATAGGCAGCAGTCAATCTACACTCATTATGGTTAATAACTATATCCAACACAGCAATCCTAATAATTGCAAGTGTTTTTACTGTGATAAGCATTAACATTTCCAGATTCAGCATTATAGATATTGTAGGAGGAGAGCTACATTAGTTTATATTAGCTAAAAATGAGGCAGAACCCAGTAACAGATTAATAGGTTTTATTAAAAATCACCAGCTTAGCTCATGAAAGCTTAAGCCTTTTAATAAAATGAGTTAGTCTGAAAGGAGAAACTTCCTGACAGTTAGAACAATTAACCAATGGAACAACCTGCCTCCAGAAGCGGTAAATGCTCCAACACTGGAAGTTTTTAAGAAGAGACTGGACAGCCATTTGTCTGAAATGGTGTAGGGTTTCTGCCTGAGCAGGGGGTTGGACTCGATGACCTCCAAGGTCCCTTCCAACTTTATTATTATTATTATTATTATTATTATTATTATTATTATTATTATTATTATTATTATTATTATTATTATTATTATTATTATTATTATTATTATTATTATTATTATTATAATATATACAACTTCAGCTGAAATCCTATATATATTTGTTGGGAATAATTGAAGCTGACTCAGTTGGGCTGAATTCTAAGTAGACATGCATAACATTGCTCAGTTAAGATGTGATCAGAAAATTTGATATCCTCGTAAGATTGTCCTGTTTTGAAGAATAAAATTCAAACGCACCATTTACAATATAAAATGGTTTAAAACAGCCCTTATTCTTCAGAAATTACAACCTGTAATTTATTCAAGAGCAATCCCAATAATGAAAGCTATTGATTTCCTCCTAGAGGTGGGATTGCAGTTAATTTTGCATGATGGCTTCTTTGTCACCAACTGTATTCAAATGGCAGTGCTCTAATAGGAAATTGTTATATTCATAGGTTTAATTTATGTTGTTGGAGGCATTAGCAATGAAGAAATAGAACTATGTTCTGTGGAAGTCTATGACCCGCTAGCTAAGCGCTGGTCTACCCTTCCTGAAATGGGCACGAGAAGGGCATATCTAGGAGTGGCTGCTTTGAATGACTGCATCTATGCTGTTGGAGGGTGGAATGAAACTCAAGGTGCTCTTTCAACAGCTGAGAAATACTCGTTTGAAGAGGTAGGATTTAATTTTCATGTCAAAGTAATTATTTGTGCTGCCTTTTAGAATTTTTCCCATTTTCTTTGAATGTATTATCAGTATTGTATCTGATTGTTCCCCAGAGTGGCACAAGCAGTTTATGCTTCTAACTCTGTGTACAAATGTTATATAGCTGAAGGAATGTCTTTCTGGGACAAATATCAAACTAAACTGAACAAAGTTCAAAGATAACCTGGTGATCAGAGTCAGTTTGCCAGCCCAGGAAGAACTTCCAACCAGACATAGATTTTCAAGGGACATAGGCAAAATCTGAGAAATTTCTCTTCTTCTGCCTAAAGAACCATCAAGAATTTTGCTCCTGAATCCAATTCATTACACAAATGCTAATATTTTCTGTCCTGTCTCTGCATTTTTTCTGGATTTGTGAGTTGAATGAATACTATCTTTGTCTTTGATTGCTAATAAATAGCAGTAGTTTACCCTGCCAGTGCACGGAAGACCATTATAGCTGTTCTTATGTCTGTAGATTTGCTCCGGAAGGCAAATGTAGTATACTGCAAAGATAATTCTTTTGGTTTTATTATCAGGAAAAATGGACGGAAGTTGCTTCAATGAAAGTCCCAAGAGCTGGAGTATGTGTCATAGCTGTGAATGGCTTCCTTTATGTCACAGGAGGCAGGACTGCCAGCTACGATACAGCTGCTCCTGTAACTTCAGATTCTGTGGAAGTGTATAATCCACATACGGATAGTTGGATTGAAACTGCTAACATGATCACGAGCCGCTGTGAAGGAGGTGTGGCAGTCCTTTGAAGAATACCATGCTTTAAAAAAAAACCCAGCAAAAATTGAAGTGTGAATTTAAATGCTGTAAAGAAATCGAAGATTTGGGTAGCTCTTAAGAAAGTGTGTTCAGTTAGAAGATTTTTAAAGCATATCCAGAAGTTTACAACAATTGTTAATTGAAACTATTTAAATCTTTATTTAAACTGGAACAGTTTGTAGAGACAATTCTGACAATAGAAACTTCTTGATTTTTAATATCTGCTATTGACATTTGGAAAGTTTCTGTTGGTTTATCATGTTAGGAACCTCGTTTGAAACAGAGAAAGTTAAAATTGGCAAATCCAGTTCAATATTTAATCTTGAAAATCCATTGTTTCTTTGAGATTTGTTAAAGGCCCCTCATTCTGGGGCAATATGGGATTGGCTAATGTGACTCAGTGATCTAATTCACTTGTCAAACTAATTCTTCCCATAAGATTTCGCAGCTTACAGTAGTATTTATTTGCATTTCTTAAGTTGCCCAACCACATGACTCTGTGTGATGCACTTTAGATTTATTTGTACATCAGATAACAAAGAGGGGGAGGGAGGGAGGGAGGGGGAGGGAGGGAGGGAGGTAAAGAGAGAGAGAAAATGGTCATCCCAGCAGAGCATAGTGAAACCTCTCTCTTAGGGAGCTCATTTTCCAGCCTAGCCCAATGCGGGGAGAAAGAACGAGGTCTTCAACCCTCATTAAAAGAAGAGGTTTGAGACTGTTGCAAAAGACAGAGACTGAGAATCCAAGCATCCTGGATTGTGTCAGATGTCATCCTTTAATGATTGAGACTTGAAGCATACTGAGTCTGTTTAATGAAATAATGAAAAAGAGACAGTCCCTCAAACAACTAGGCCCTAGGTCAGGGGTAGGCAACCTTGGCTCTTTTATGACTCGTGGACTTCAACTCCCAGAATTCCTGAGCCAGCATGGCTGGCTCAGGAATTCTGGGAGTTGAAGTCCACGAGTCATAAAAGAGCCAAGGTTGCCTACCTCTGACCTATGTCATTTAGTGTTTTGTAAATGGTAACCAAAATCTTGAATTGCACCCCAAAGCTTCCTGGTAATAAGTGCAGTTCATAAAGGAAAGGTATCTCAGGATTGCATTATGGTATGCCCATAACTGCTCTTGTCTGCACAATCTGGACCAGCTGAGCTTTCTAAGTGGTCTTCAAGGACAGCCCATGTAAAGTACACTGCAGTGGTCCACACATGGGAAACCAAGGTATGAGTGACTCAAAGCGGCTTCCTGAGTAGAGTTGGTGCTGAAGATGAATGTCTAGCTATAGCTGCTATTTAATTTTTGAGTAATTCTGTCTGGGGAACGCAACCCCATTTAGAATTAGAAATGGAAAGTCTCTGGTTCCCTAAGATACATGCACCCACATTTGGTCTTACTGGGACCTAACTGAGCTTAGGTCTGTTGCCCTCCATCCACACCCCCACAGACTCCAGGGACTGGGATAAGACCCGATATCACTTGATCAACTAGGTTAAGGTATATAACGTTTTATTATCATGGGTATACTGAAATACCTGACCCTATGTCAACGGATGACCTTACCTAGTGGCCTCATGTAGATGTTAAACAAGAGGGATGAGACCACTGAGTTCTCTACACCCTACAGGTCAGGGACTTTGGATTTCATTTCTCCAAATCCACCAACTGAAACTGGCTATGTAGAAATGTGGAGAGGCATCACAATATCATTCCCCCAATCCTCAGTTGTCCCAAACCGATTAACTGTGATAATACTGAAGGCTATTGATAGCATCAACGAATGTCAGAATGGTTGCACCATCCCTGCCCCAACTCTGCTAGCATAATGGCTTATGGCAGTGATGGCGAACCTTTTAGAGACCGAGTACCCAAACTGCAACCCAAAACCCACTTATGTATTGTCAGGTGCCGGGTGGGCGTGGCCCACTGGGCAGGCGTGGCTGCGGTGGTAACGGCAGACTGGGTGGGACTAAAAAGTTCAATCAATTCCAACTTTGCGAGATCTTTTTTTTTCCCACGAGAAGTTGAAATTGATTGATTGAACCCTTTTTTTTGCACATGGCGGCGGAGGCCTAAAGTGAAAAGGTTTTATAAAGGCCTAGGACTGGGGCGACGGCGCGCGTGCCCACAGAGAGGGCTTTGCGTGCCACCTGTGGCACGCGTGCCATAGGTTCACCACCACGGGCTTATGGGAATGACCTTGAGAGATCGGGCCTAGCTAGATAGTGAGGGAAGGGGCAAGAGGCTCAGAAGAGACCCTAATTTCTTAAGAGTATGATTATCTGGCATTGTTACAACACCAGCAACAAGTAGATAAACAGATGACCTATTTGCAAAGTGCTATGATAGAAACTAATGCAATAGCTAGGACAAAGTGTGTCCCAGCTCAGTCAAAATTCAGAGGGGACCAGGATCAGTTCCAGATACTCACTGCTCAATGTGGTGGGCAGGCTGATGCCATTTCCCAGTGATCACACTGTGACTTTTGTGCCGAGTTTGCTGATGGAATCTGAAATATTTTGGGTCTATACATTCTGATCTTAGCTTATCAATAGCTACTACTGCCAGAACATCTTCCCACATATTTCACCTGGAGTCCTCCGTAATCCTGGCCTGTTCCTGCAACTTATACATTAAATGGGGGGAAATGTTTCAACTTGGTTTCATTTTTGTTTCATAAAATGTTTCAGCTTTGTAGCATAAAGGTGTGTCCTTTGGGAGGTAAATCAACCTCATAGGAGATAAGCAAAATCAAACTTTATTTTGAAAAATATAACTCAAAAAAGATACAGGAAGTTCTATTTTTAAGAAAACACGTAAGGCTCTCAGCAGACCACAAGATGGTGCTGGCCTGCTATAAGAAGTTATCTCAAAAGAAAGATGTCATCTGAGAAACAGGTAATTTCTAGCCAAAATTACACTAAATGCTCTACATTTATAGAAGCAGGATTATAGTTTCTAACATAAGTAAAAGAAATCAAAGCAATGCAATGTCTAACAGGAATAGTTATCTATTCCTTAGAGAGATAAGCTGAATCCAAAAGCAAAGTCCTCTGCTTTGTGATCTTGGTACTCCTTCAGTTTGTGGTAATTCCTGCCATGTATCAGAGTTGTTGGGAAGATGGTACACTCCACTTATTTTTCTGTCTCGGGTGCCAAAATTCTTTGCTCTGTCTCCCCAAAGATTTCCCTTTGTCTTCTGAATGAACAATACCTTTTCTGTGTTTAGAGGGCAGAAGCTGAGGGAATCTCCCAAACATACATTCTAAAGCCTATAGCTGAGAGGTGGCGTACATTCCAACTGAAACACTGTCTGCCATTTAGATCAGGGAGTCCACACTATTTTGAATGCTGGGTGGCTATTCACAAAATATGCATCAACATTTATGCTGACTGATGGAAAACAAGGTTGACTCTGGGCCTACACAGTACAATGAATACAGATACATGCAGGAGATAACAGTAGGTTGCAACCAATTCTAATAACATATTCTTCCTCTCCTCCTACCTATCATGAAATTTGCTCTGCAATTTAGAATAAATCATTGGAAAGGCTTTATATTTAACCTTTGCCTCTATTTGACTTGATTCTTAATTGAACTTGAGACTTCAGAAGCCTTCTGCAGAAAACAAAATAGACTGATTTTTCTCTAACAAAATGATAGCTTACAAAAACGTGTTACTTGATTTTAAGAAAGTTATGAATTTAATTTCATGATGCACTTACCCAATCTCAAACAACATTTGCCCTATTATAAGACAGCACAATGGAAATTCTAGTTATTTTCAAGCCAAATATAACAAATGTCTCCACTGTACTTTGTACTGTTATGGAAACTCAGCAATAGACAACTAAAAAAAAGAAAAAAAATTGTAGTCAAAATTTTGAGAGAGTATTTTATTACAGTCACAGACTAGCACAAGGTTTTGATCAATTGTGTGGCACATTTAAATATATTTCTCTTAAAGCTCAAATGTATTCTTAAATCTTTCTGGTAATTTTGATGATAAAAAAATAGAAATTGTTTATATTGAGGGGTTTTTTGTTATTATAGTAAATAGCAATCCAACACTTAGCACAAGAAATTAAAACTTCTAAAAACTGCTCAATGCAAAAGATTTTATATTTTCCGTTGGTAGTAATAGTTCTATAGTTTTATGTCTAAATATTTAGAACATATTACCCAAAGTATAAGAAAAGCATCCACTATGTGGAAATATTTTTGGCTCATAATTATTCTTTCAAATCACTGAAACAATTGTGTGTTATCCAATTTCCTCAAAGCTATCTTACTGCTTTCATTACAATTTGTTGGTAATAAAACTTTAGCACCAATCCCAGTAGAAGTATTCACTGCATGCATGCACGCACACACATGCTCAGATAGCATGGAAAAGCCATTAAAACAACTGTGCTGAGCCTTCAAGAGGATGTGCTGCCAGGTTTTAAGTGAAGTACTGCTCTACATGCTTCACATAACCCTGGTATTGACCCACCCAGAATTAATTTCCAAGAGTAATGCTGTGAATTGTTTCGTATTTGTACCAAATTTGGTAAAAAAATAAGAGAAACTAAATTCCACTAAAGCCACACAAATGAAAACCCAAGTAATCTAAAAAAAATAAAATCTACTAGTATTCAGCACCTACCCTCCTTTCTAATTTGCTTCTCTATGCTAGTGTTATAAATTTAATGAATTAGATAATTCAACTATTATTTTCTGTTCCAATAATTTTCCAAATTCATTTCATGCATTGTGAATATTGTTTCCATTCTGTATTCTGTTTCTCCCACAAGGCTCTGCCTTTTGTGTGTGTTTACTTAGAATCGTCTGTTTCCCCAAATTTAAAACTTAGATATCTTTCAGGATAGAAATTCACATAAATTAATGTGACAAATATAGTAAATGCGGCCACTAGAGTTAAAATTAATAGCAAGGCTTTAAACCAGTTGGGATAGGTGGGAAGAAGAACCAAGTCATTATTAAGGGCTATCATTAAACCTATGATAACCATGATTCCAGCTGTAGTGAGATCTTTACAAAGCAAGGTAATCCAGGCTATTATAGAAGGAACTATACTGTTACCCAAATTACGCCAGTCAGGTTTTGCAGGACTTCCTTCTGGAAGACTAAATCCCCACCTGACCCCTCCTAGGAAAGACAATATAGAGGCAGCATATGCAATTTGAGCAAATGCCAACTCAGGGTAGGAGGCTTGCTGGATAGCCATCACTAATGGCACTGAAACAAATGGAAATAATATTGAAGCTGCTACGTAAATGGCAGGTTTGGGAGAGTCCTTAAGTGATGCCAAGTCAACTAGTCGAATATCCTGATTATCAGATGTAGGTTCTGAAGGCCTTTTTTTGTTCCAGCTGCAAGCAGAGGAATGGAATCCTTGGATCTTAGTTGTGCACAAAGCTGGCTTTTTAGATAACGGTAATTTTGACAGGAAGCTCTGACGGTATTCAAGAAGAAAATGGCAAGAGTTATTCCTAGGCTGCAGAAACCTTTGAAGGTGAATTATCTGTAATTGCAAATATAAACATGCATGTCACTGAAATGTGTGAGTTTAAACCTGCAACTGCTACACATTTTGCCTCAAACTTATCCTTTTTAGCTAACTAATTGCAAAATCATATAAAACTTCAGTCTTTGTCTTTAGGCTATTACATAACCACTCTTATTTGGGAACTGCAATAGATTTCCATTAAAGGCATGAAGCATCATGAATTCACATATAATTTACTAATGCATGACTGACAGCAAAAAAAATAGGGGTGATAAAAAGATTCAAATTCAAAACAAGCCATTTTTATTCATAGGAAGTGTTTGGATGCTGTCCGAATAAGACAGTCTTTCAAATTCAAAATATTTTCCATATTTCTAGTATCTTTCCAGAGAACATATGAAGTCTAGGTCTTCACTGCACTGCATGTACTTGAAATGCACAAAATGAATATTGTCAGAATATTTCCCGGTACCTACATTTATAAGGGAAAAGTATTTCTCTTTCTATTCATAAATTACTGCATAACACTGTACTATATATTTAGTACTATTAATAAATGTAGAACATGTTGATTTTATGCCTTCATTCTGATAAAAATAGATTTTTTAAGAAAAACTCATTTAAAATGTAATCTCTTTTAGCATTAACTGCACACATTAAATATTTGGGGAGATTTTTGTATTTCACAAAAGCTACAAAACAAACTTGACATCTCTCTTAGAAGACAAATATTAGGATTATCTTCTTTTAACCCAGTGTGTAATAGAAGTTGTTCTCTTAAAAAAAAATTCCAATTCAACTGTCTGGGAGAATTTTACCTTGGAAGGAATTTGGAAACCACGTTGTATAAAATGGAACATTTTCACAGACCTTAAAAGACAGAGAAAAGGTTAGATGGTTAACATTAGAGTATCATGCATGAATATTGGGTGATATTTTCCACTTCACTAAAATATGCTACACTGAAACAATCTCGATGAAGTATAATTTAGGCATGATATATCTAAGATATAGCAGTCATAACTGGAAAGTCAACTCCAGGAAGCCTAGCAGTTAAAGCTGTTGAAAGACATTACAATGATGTCATTATATAAACAGCTTTATTATTCTAATACTAGATATCAATCCAACATTATACGGTATATACGCAATAACCATATTATACTGTGTTATGTACTATGTATCCCCAGATCCCTTTGCTTATGCCTTCAAAAACTCAATTCCTAATAACTGAGATAGAGAAAGCTGTATGGGTTTTTTGGCCTTCCAGAATATTTGTTCAACTTTCCAGTCTGGTTGCCAAACAAGGAATTTCTTGTTAGTCTCTTATCTGAGTACCAATCAAATCTGGCAGCAGTTACCTTTTCCAAGATCAGCTAAGTATTACCACCACTACAAATGACAATTCCCTAAATTAATTTAATGGCACAGAAACTCTCCATTACACTAGCAATATTTCAAATAAAAATATGCATTTAAGTCACATCTGTACACGCTCTAACCTGTAGTTAACTAATCAGGGTTACTGAATTACCCCAGTTGTCTGGCTTCACACAAATACTAAATCAGATGCCAACCATGCTACCAAAACACATTTGCAGAACACATTCATCCACAAACTAGCCTTAAACATCCCTAATATGGCACTCACAGACTTCTCTTTTGATGTTAACAAGACTCCATTCTCACTGATTATACTACTTTTATTTTGATCATTTTAAATTAAGCAAGTTGGCCTCAAGCATAATCACTGTTGTTAAGGATAATTTCAGTCTCACATACTCTGGAGTAAAAAAAAAATTCCAGCCTAATGTTCTGGAAATACTGTAGTTTTACAATGTCCATCCATTTTTACAATGTCCATCCATTGTAAACATGGATGGACATTGTAAAACTACAGTATTTCCAGAACATTAGGCTGGAATTTTTTTTTTTACTTCAGAGTATGTGAGACTGAAATTAACCTTAACAACAGTAATTATGCTTGAGGCCAACTTGCTTAATTTAAAATGCTAACTTGCTTAATTTAAAATCATCAAAATAAAAGTAGTGTAATCAGTGAGAATGGAGTCCATTCTGTCCATCCAGAAAAATACAATAGACAACATCTAGGGAAGCTAGAGAGAAGCCACCTTATTAGTTGGTCAAATCTACTATCAGAACATTCTCTCAAAATACCAAATGTGCCCCCTGACCCACATGGCTGGATATTCTGAACCCTCAACTACATTTTAAAACATGTGAAAAATCTAATTTAAAACAAGATTTAAATTTCTCAGTATTATTAAAGCCTCAGTATTATTACAATGTACTAACTAGCTGTGGAAACAAACTAGCAAAATAGTTTCCTCAAATCAGCATGTACGCCACATTTCTGTATGATAAAACATAATAGTCACGTTCAACTCTTCATGATCTCATTGACAGTCCATGTAGTTTTTTTGATACCAATCTAAAAGTAATTATGTTATTGTCTGCCTGTTCAAATTCAGAGTTATCAGTTTTGGTATTTCATAGTGGTCTCCCATGAAGATCCAATCATCCTTAGCATTTGAGATCAGTCAGGATGTATTGTATATGTGTACTCTATTTATATAAGCATACAGGGCTTTTTTTTAAAAAAAAAAATCCCTTTATTATTTCATAAGCAGCTCAAGTCAGCACACATACATAATACTCCTTCCTATTTCCCCTTGAGGTGGGTTGGACCGAGAGTGACTGACCCAAAGACACACAGCCGGCTAGAACTAGAACTCAATGTCTCCTGGTTTCTAGGTCAACACCTTAACCGCTAAACCAGTGTTTCTCAACCTTGACAATTTTAAGGCATGTGGACTTCAACTCCCAGAATTCCACAGCCAGCAATGCTGGCTGTGGAATTCTGGGAGTTGAAGTCCACATGCCTTAAAATTGTCAAGGTTGAGAAACACTGCGCTAAACTAAACTTACCTCTCAATTTGTTTTAATTTTTAATTTCAATTTGAGAAATACATTTAAAACCCTTCTTAAAACTTAAGACAAATCCTTCTTGGTTTCTCCTGTTATTAAACCGAAAGTAAATTCCTCTTTCCTTTACCTGACTTCGCGATCAGTTACCTTATTATTTTCACTCTGCTGCTCAACCCCACGTCGCCACGTGCCCCCCTCCCCATTTACATGACCGGAGATACTCACCATATACTAGCAGGAAAAACTGAAGGAGGTAATAGAGAAGCGAACGCTCAGAGGAGAATCCAAAGCCAAGTCATCCGATATTTGATTCAGTTTTAGCACACAAAAAAACAAAAGGGGGGGGGGAACGTTGCAAGATGGCTTTCCAGGTTCGCACAGTAGGCTTTCCAGAAAGCCAGATGCACTCTTAAAGCATAACAACCTACGAGTTTCGTATAATATTGTACGAAATAGGAGAAACTTATTTTTTTCGGGCTAAGTACGACCCTGGTAACGTGCAAAGAGACTTCACCAACACCCGAGCCGTTATCCGCTTGAAAGGCAAGGCACTTCCTTTGCTCCCATTTAAGTCCGCCGGGTATACGTGTCAGGCCAATAGGCTCTCAGCCTGAAACAGAGGCTTCCCTTCAGTTCCTGCTTTGTATAAGAAAGGTGAGCGATATCCGCTCTCCTCTTTTGAGTTGTTTAGTACTGCTTTTTTGTTTGCGTTGCAGGGTGACTTTCATTCTAAAAATTATGCGGCGTTTGCTTGACTATTGTGGGGCAGTGAATATAGAAGACCCGTAGACGTGATTTCTATAATCATGGTTTACTGCACGAATTGGATGAATGCAACCTCAGGAACTACAACCCTGGTTTACAAATGACCAGTACTGGGACTACATGACAATTGCATACTAAGATGCAACGAAAAAAAAGACCAGAATGACCATATATCAGGAGTCGTTCTTCTTATTTGGATGTCTTTATACAGAATTTTTTTACATTGATTGCATCCATATGGTACATAAAATGCCAATTATGGGCTACAGTGAATGTTCTTTATAATGGTAAGATAACTTGAATTATAAATTATAAATCACCAGGACCTGACAGATTACATCTCAGAGTTCTGAAGGAGCTGGCAGATGTTATCTCAGAACCATGGCACCACATCCTTCATAAATCCTGGAGCACCAGGGAAGTACCTGAGGATTGGAAAAGGGCTGATGTTCCCATCTTCAAGAAAAGGGAAAAAACGGACCTAGGAAACTACAGACCAATCAGTTTAACATCAATACCTGGGAAGATCCTAGAAAAGATAATCAAAAAACAGAAATGCAAACAACTAGAAGCAAACAAAGTTATAACTAGTAGCCAGCACGGGTTTGTTAAAAACAGATCATGCCAAACCAATCTTATTTCATTCTTTGATAAAGTAACTAAACTAGTAGACCAGCTAAATGCTGTGGATGTAGTATACTTAGGTTTCAGTAAGGCATTTGATAAAGTAGATCACAACCTACTCCTTGGTAAGCTAGAAAAAGGTGGCATAGACAACATCGCCACCAGATGGATCTGTAGCTAGCTGGCAAACCGTACTCAATGAGTAGTCCTCAACGGCACTACATCCACATGGAGAGAAGTAAGCAGTGGGGTACCACAAGGTTCCATCTTAGGCCCAGTATTCAATATCTTCATCAATGACTTAGATGAGGGAATTGAAGGGAAACTCATCAAATTTGCAGATGACACCAAACTGGCAGGAGTAGCCAACACCCCAGAAGACAAACTCAGGATCCAAAAAGATCTTGACAAACTTGAACAATGGACCCTATCCAACAAAATGAGTTTCGATGTGGAGAAAAGTAAAGTTTTACATTTAGGCAGGAAAAATCAAAGGTACAAGTACAGATTGGGCAAGATCTGGCTTAAAAACAGTAACTGTGAGAGGGACCTTGGAGTCCTAGTGGACGATCACTTGACTATGAGTCAGCAGTGTGCAGCAGCAGCCAAAAAAGCTAATACAATCCTGGGTTATATAAACAGGCAAAGAATCAAGATCACGTGAAGTATTAGTACCGCTTTATAAAACCCTAGTAAGACCACATCTGGAATACTGCAGCCAGTTTTGGTTATCATATCACAAAAAAGATTTTGAGAGTTTGGAAAAAATTCAGAGACTAAAATATATGAAGACCGGCTGCAGGACTTGGGTTTGGCTACTCTAAAGAAAAGAAGAAATAGGGGAGACATGATAGCAGTATTCCAGTATTTGAGGGGTTGCCACCAAGAAGAGGGGGCCACATTATTCACCAAAGCACCAGAGGGCAGGATGAGAAACAATGGTTGGAAACTGATCAGAGAGAGAAGCAACCTGGAATTAAGGAGAAACTTCCTGACAGTGAGGACAATTAATCAGTGGAACCGCTTACCTCCAGAAATCATGGGTGTTCCATCAGTGGAGATTTTTAAGAAGCTAGACAGTCACTTGTCTGATATGGTATATGTCCTCCTGCTTGAGCAGGGGGTTGGACTAGAAGACCTCCAAAGTCCCTTCCAGCTCTATTATATAATTATAACACATCAATACATAGTTTATGTGTTATAAGTATATCCTGCTTTTCCACACAGCACCATGCAAAAATCAGGAGCAAAAAATCACTTACAGAACACTCCTGTAATTTTTCCCCGCATAAAATATCTGAGATGAGACCTAAAGTCATTTAGCATTCATGGCTAACAATAGATTTGAACATGGGTTCCCCCTCCTCCCAGTGCTAGTCCAACACAATTAGGTACAATGATTTAACAACTTTTCTTGTGTGCTTCTGAGACAGATTTCACACTGACAAAACTGTCATTCCAATCACACCCAGATTTGCACTGAATATGAAAGTGTGAAAGATGGTTTATTTAAGAGAATAATAACAAGAAGCAGATTATTTCAGTCCAAAAGGGCAGTGGTTATTACTTAAAATTCTAGAAAATGAAAACATAATATTTACTGTTCGGTGCTCTGAACAGTTTAAGTAGTAAAAACATTTAATCTGTATGAATGATCAAAAACAACATATTCCACATGTCTCATAATAAATTATATTCCTTTTAATTATCCATAAAATGCTCTGCTTTGTACTATACATTTTCTCTTTGTTGGTAAGTATAATAATTTTATCTTATTTGGCATACTTTAATTGGCATCAAAGAAAAATGTACAGAAAAAAAATGAAGCAGATATTTTTGCATGGCAGAGAAAGGATGTTATACACATACCATAGCTATTAATGGTTACCTAGGGTGATAGTTTACCAGATTAATCCAATTCAGCCTTGGACCATAAACTGATCACATTGGTTGTGCACAACATATTAACTATATTTATTTGATGGGTTAATCTATAGTAGACTTAACTGTGGTTTCTTCAACCAGTATTCTTTATTGCATAATGCTTTGAACCACATACAGACTGAATTTGCACAGGCTCGGCTAACATTTGCTAACCTTCGTATGATTACATATGATTATGGTTCAATATGTCCTGTAAAGATAATATGTCAACAGTGCTGTCTTGTAAAAATAAAACACTAGCTATCCCTGTTTTTTATGGATTTGTTCATACTTTGGATTCTTGGACTGAGTAGGATGGGAAAGCGTCTGATATTTCTCTTCCTTTAATAATTTTTGATAGAAATGACCCAGTTGTCTAATGACAATAGTTGAGAAACAGAGGATGGATCTAGAATTCTTGCCTTTGGCATGCTTTTGTAACTATTCATGATCATAACCTTTGTTTTAGTAGCTTAAAAAAAAAGACAGATCTACATCTTATCTAGATCTGACTCATTACAGGAATGTAAAAAGCCATTTACAAGGGCATATTAGTCTAACATTTCTCATTCAGTAAATTTTACTGGCTTATGGATGTCTTTACACAACTTACACAACAAAGCACAACATCTAAACTAAAACCAAACACTCACAACGCAAGTTTATAGGGGACACGGGCAGCATATAAATTTAATAAATTATTGTATGACCAGGACATTTTTAAGCCCTAATTGATTAGTTTGTTTTAACTTTCTACATGAACACAGCCATTAGTTAACCACCAAGGTTTATGGTTAATAATTAAATGTTTTTGATGCTTGACTCTCACTGACTCTGGAAGGTTCATAAATTGTTAGAAAATTTAAAAACAAGGAAACGATGCAAAAAACGCAAAAGCAATATAAAAGTAACAAAGATGGCAGACAAACGGGGACAAACACAGCTCGAAAAGTATGATTAAGGGGGCTCTGCTGGAATTTACCACTTTCATTTAACATACTAGGTAAAATAGCTACGGATGGATTAAACTTTTTACTAAGTTTTTCTTAAGTAACAGACATATCCTTAATTTTGAATGAGAAAAATTAATCTTAAGTTTGATTTATCGAAAGCATATAGAGAATGGCAGAAAAAATAAAACATTATTATACAGTTTCCATGGCTCATTTAGTTCCAAACTAAATCGACCCAAGTGCAAAGCCTTCCGGTATGCGCTTAGTTTATTATGGTTCAGGGTGTCACGCGATCCCTGGACAATGAACCGAGTTATCTACGGATAACCGTGCTGCGAGAACAGACACACCACCGAGCAATAACAACACCAGAGTTGTGCCAACTGGAGAGCGGCCGAGAGAACAAAGCGTGAAAGCTATAGTCGCAGACCGAGCTGAGCATAACTTAACGCCAACAGAACGATACACGCTCACGCATGCGTAAGAGAACTGGCGAATTCGAGCGAGCGTTCCGTAAGAGCCTTTGATAGGCGGTGCGCGTGCGGCTGTTTTGTATGGCTTACCAAGTGAGCGCGCGTGCGCTCCACCCTTGGCACGGGCAGGGCCAGGTGGGCGTGTTTCTTTCCCCCTAACCCCCCTCCCCTTCGCGTGAATAGCCCCGCCCCTCTCCGGCCCTCGGCCGGTCCGGGCAGCCATTTTGGGCAGAGCTTTGTTATGATTCGGTCTGAGGAACTGAAGCTACGGAGAGAGTGAGGGGGCGAGTTGGGGCCTGGTTCTGTGAGCACGGCCTTGCGTGGAAAAAAGAGAAGAGGAGCTGGACTTAAGGAGGGAGTTGAGCGGCTGCCAGCGTCGGGGGAGAAACTGAGGTAGGAAGGCAGCGGGGAGACTCCAGAGTAGGCAAGGGGGCGGGAGTGTAAATAAGTGCTGCTTCGAGAGCAGGAATTGGGAGAGAGGCAGGAAGGAAGGTGGCCGAAGGCCTGCTATGTTGATCTGGTTGGCGAGAGAGTGGGTGGGTGGGTGGGGGGAGTTGCTGGGAGGACGGGCTGCGGAAGCGCTTGGGACGAGCGGTG